TCTAAATAAGGATACAATTAATTTGAAGAAATCTTCGACTTTTTTAAATTATATAACAGCTTCTTGAACCGATTTCAGCCCCAATGTAAACTCAATAAATCTTGGATGAAATATTTGATATCTGTATGTTTCATGCTATTAAATACAGTACAGGATTTGAACATTTGCTTATGATTTAGCAAACTTTAAAATGGAGGAATATTGTTGAGTAGCTCATTCAAAATGGAGCACAGCTTTGTTGTTTAGCCAGACATCATGACAATATTGCACCAAAGATATTGTGCTGTTTGACACAGTAATGCTATCATCGTTGTAAGTACCTTAACAAGAGGCCCAACAATGGCCCTGCATCACTCACCTGGTATTAATCTCACACTTGTATTCTTAAAAAGTGGACTAAAATACAGCTTCAGGCAGATTATCAGTGTTTGATTCATAAGAACCTATTAAAAGATTTAAACATATGACACCTGTGACCTGTCGAGCAAGGACATTAGGTTGAACAGAATTTATAGTCTACCAACCCAACATGCTTCTGGCAAAATATCATTACCCTGGACCTTTTGGTTATACAGAACAAACCATTTAAAGATTTAAACATATATTAACCACTGTGACCTTGAATATGAGCGAAGGCCATTCACTTGGTAGTCCTTCATCCCAGCATGTTAATGGCCAAACATCCTCACCCTTGGCCTTTTGCTTATTAAGAAGAAGTCGTTTAAAGGTTTTTAACATATTTGACCCCTGTGACCTTGAATATATGTCAAGGTCATTCATTTGAACAAACTTGGTAGTCCTTTATACAAGCATGTTACTGGCATTATCCTAGGCCTCTTGGTTATTCAGAAGAAGTTGTGTAAAGGTTTAAAACATATTTTGTCCCCTTTGACCTTGAAAAAAGATACAGGTCATTCATTTGAACAAACTTGGGAGCCCTTCATCCGTGCATGTTACTGGCAAAATATCGTTGCCTTATACCTCTTGGTTATTCAGAAGAACTTGGTAAAAGTTTTTTTTCATTTGAACAAACTTGGTAGTCTTTCATCCTAGCATGCTACAGACCCAATATCAGTACCCTGGGCCTTTTGGTAATTGAGAAGTGGTTTGAAGATTTTTTACGAAATTTGACCCCTGTGACCTTGAAAGTGGGTCAAGGTCATTTATTTGAACAAACTTGGTAATCCTTCATCCCAGCATGCTAAAGGCCCAATTTCAGTACCCTGGGCCTTTTGGTTATTGAGAAATGGTTTGAAGATTTTACGACATTTGACCCCTGTGACCTTGAATGTTGGTCAAGGTAATTCATTTGAAGAAACTCGGTAGCCCTTCATCCCAGCATGCTACAGGCCCAATCTCAGTACCCTGGGCATTTTGGTTATTGAGAAAAAGTTGTTTGAAGATTTCAAGTTATTTGACCTCTGTGACCTTGAAAGTGGGTCAAGGTCATGCATTTGAACAATCTTATAGCAGCCCTTCATCCCAGCATGCTACAGGCCCAATAAGAGTACCCTAGGCCTTTTGGTTATTGAGAAGAAGTTGTTTAAAGTAAAATATTGACGCCGGACAGACGGATGGACGACGTGCCATGGCATAAGCACACTTGCCCTTTGGGCAGGTGAGCTAAAAATGTAACAGAAAGCATATCTAGTGGTTTTCCCACTCATATATAAATGTTTCACTTGTATGGAAGAACATGTTAACATATTTTTCGTACTCATGAAAAATATTTGTTTCTGCCATACTGGTGAAGTACATGTATATACAGTATTCAATGGGAAACTAATAAAAATCCCCTGCAAACAGTACTTCGGGATAAAGACCCTGTATTGCTGTTCCTATCAACTTAATTTATTTTGATTCAACAGACTCAAGAATCAAATAAAATTATGTTCAGATATTTGTTATCAATTTTGCATAAATAATTATAAGTTAATATCATTGGTATTAAAGTTGAAATGTTCCTTCTACTTTATCAGCAACCATTTTGGCTATAGAGAGTGACGAGGTTGCCGCTGGTGACGGTGCATTGCGTACATGCAGCACACGACCAGCGACCTCTCCTTGTCCTATATCAAAGACAAAATCGTCCACTAAATGGCCGTCCCTGTCCAGAGCCTGAGCTCGCACTCCCGAGGGACCCCTGCAAGTGACAAGGTACAAATGTGTTCAACGATATATACGATTATAAAATAAAAGCAATTATATGTTACTGCATCTGTCAACAAATCTCACAAAATCAAGACGAGAGTTCTCATTACTAAATTGATATACAATATTCCAACCCTGAAGAAAATGTGTCTCTAACAATCCTAAAAAAAAAAAGAACATATTAAATTAGAATTCTACATGTTCCATATTTATAAAGTTCTGTGGTCATTTCCTTGTAGCATCTTAACAAAGTTCTGTGATCATTACCTTGTAACATCTTAACAAAGTTCTGTGGTCATTACCTTGTAACGTCTTAACAAAGTTCTGTGGTCATTACCCTGTAACATCTTAACAAAGTTCTGTGGTCATTACCTTGTAACGTCTTAACAAAGTTCTGTGGTCATTTCCTTGTAACATCTTAACAAAGTTCTGTGATCATTACCTTGTAACGTCTTAACAAAGTTCTGTGATCATTACCTTGTAACATCTTAACAAAGTTCTGTGGTTTTCTGTGGTCATTACCTTGTAACATCTTCTCTTTTTAGAGAAGGGACATATTTCTGTAGTAACTTGACCTGAGCAGATATGTTAAATCCCCGGTACATCTCCTTGATTCCAAAGGCTAAATGTCTGGTGGCTAGTTTACGTAGACCTCTGTAAAAACAGGCATTTTTTTTCTTCAGCTTTTATATAATACAGTTTAACACATTAATACAAACACTTATAATCCTTACAATGAGTTTTTACCTACAGTAATAATGATGTTGAAGATGCTTTAGGAACGTTTAAGAACAAATGGTTTTCTTACAAAGTATTGCTTGCATCTTTTATCACAAGTCAGACAACTGGGTTACCTCCCTTGATAATGAAGACGTCAGTCCAGAATTTGTTCCACCTCTAAAAGTATGGTTAGAACTACTTGTAACAATTTGTTACAATGTATATTGTATAGCAAAAACACTTGGTTATAATTTATCATATTTACCTTACCATGTTGCTGAGCTAGCTGAACTTGAAATGAGTTCAGAATGTTTTGTGTGATTTATTCGTTTGACTGTTGCTCACATATTTTATGATCATGTGTGAATTATAGAATTTCTCCCAAACAGAATAACAAAACAAGTGAAGGAATGTAATTAAAGCATAACTATACATCTTTATCAGACATCCAATCACTTTTTATCCAATGAAAGAATTAGTTGAACCACAGTTTTAAGTTTTATTGGAAAGCAATGGTCACATTCGTATTGAAAAACTATCATCAGTTCAGCGATTTGGTCTACTCACAGACAAAGATTTACCTTTGATGATATTTGTGGGCGTGTCCAGACTTTAACAATGTTTATCAATATTTAAAGTGTGCATTTTCTTAGATTGTTAAAGAAACTAAGACATAGAAAAAAATAGGTATCAAGATTGGAGAATGTCATTACTGGTATTCATTTATCCTGCAATTCTTTAATTGCAACATTTTCTCATGAAACTTAAGTGTTGTATCAAATAGGTTTGACAGCAAATACAGACATGTGGTTTTGCTTATACATGTTTTTACTTACCTTCACCAATACATTTATACCTGCTTACCTAAAGCTTAAGGCATCCGCAGTGTCCTTGAGACTGAAGTCGAGCAATTTGTATCCCTCCCTTTTAAATGCTAACACAGCATTAGGACCAAGCCAGACATCGCCATTCATACGGGGTGTGTAATGGACACCAAGGAACGGGAATCTGGGATCTGGCACCTACACAGCCAAAAATATATGTGTCACCAGTAAATACAAAAGGTCTTCAAGCAGCACACTTGCGGGTTTGAATATCAACCCCACTTAGGTGGTTGTTTTCTTTAGATACACCAAAGGTACGGTATTCAAATCAATGAATCATAAGAAGAGGCTCCAGGCCTTTAATCCTTCAATCTTTTTTTTTTTAAATTGACCAAATAAAACAGCTCTTCACTACAGCAAAATGCAGGACATACATTGTAACTGTAAGACTTCAGTTTCTGTCAAAGTCATGTGAACTCTTTCATACATATGACCCATGTGACCTTAACGTGTCATTTAAAGACCATTCATTTACACTAAACTGATAGCTCTTAACCAGAGAAAGCTACAGGCCATATATGGCTTCAAGTATGATGGTTCAGTAGAAGAAGTCATTTCAATGAAAACTTGACAATCAATAATGAACACAGTGCATTAAAAACAAGAGGCCCAAGGGCCTTAGCGGTCACCTGAGTTATATCATAGGTACTGGTAGCTTTATTTTATTGTTTAGATGTGATGTGGAAATCAGCATGTAAACTAAGTGAAATACAATACTTGTCATGTCATCAATGGATAAGAATTTGAAAATATTGGTAAATGTTCCCTTTGGGGCCCCGCCCTAGCCCCTGGGGATGGGGCAGGAATCCTAATTTTACAAAGTAAAACTCTCATTTACCCAAGATGATTCTGACTAAGTTTGAGCAATTTTCTGCTGAAAATGGATAAAATATATACCGAAAAGTGTTATTTCCCTATATAAACTATATTAAACGTTAACCCCTCCCCAAGGGAGAACGGATAGCTCGGGGTCCTGATATTTTCAATTTAAATAAAGCCCCTGATGATCTTTCTTTCCACGTAAAGAAAATCACTGTAGTACCTCTGAGTCTGGAGAAGAAGATTTTTGAAATATTGATTAATTTTCCCTTTGGGGCCCCGCCCTGGCCCCAGGGGTCGGGGTAGGAATCTCAATTTTACAATTTGAAACCATCTACCTCCAAGGATAATTCTCACCAAGTAAAAATAATTTCCTACAGAAAGTTGTCAAAATATACCCAAAAGTGTTATTTCCCTATATAAACTATAGTAAACTTTACCCCCTCCCCAAGGGAGAACGGATAGCTCGGGGGTCCTGAAATTTACAATTTAAGTAAAGCCCCTGATGATCTTTCTTTCCACGTAGAGAAAATCACTGTAGTACCTCTGAGTCTGGAGAAGAAGATTTTTGAAATATTGATTAATTTTCCCTTTGGGGCCCCGCCCTGGCCCCAGGGGTCGGGGTAGGAATCTCAATTTTACAATTTGAAACCATCTACCTCCAAGGATAATTCTCACCAAGTAAAAATAATTTCCTACAGAAAGTTGTCAAAATATACCCAAAAGTGTTATTTCCCTATATAAACTATAGTAAACTTTACCCCCTCCCCAAGGGAGAACGGATAGCTCGGGGGTCCTGAAATTTACAATTTAAGTAAAGCCCCTGATGATCTTTCTTTCCACGTAGAGAAAATCACTGTAGTACCTCTGAGTCTGGAGAAGAAGATTTTTGAAATATTGATTAATTTTCCCTTTGGGGCCCCGCCCTGGCCCCAGGGGTCGGGGTAGGAATCTCAATTTTACAATTTGAAACCATCTACCTCCAAGGATAATTCTCACCAAGTAAAAATAATTTCCTACAGAAAGTTGTCAAAATATACCCAAAAGTGTTATTTCCCTATATAAACTATAGTAAACTTTACCCCCTCCCCAAGGGAGAACGGATAGCTCGGGGGTCCTGAAATTTACAATTTAAGTAAAGCCCCTGATGATCTTTCTTTCCACGTAGAGAAAATCACTGTAGTACCTCTGAGTCTGGAGAAGAAGATTTTTGAAATATTGATTAATTTTCCCTTTGGGGCCCCGCCCTGGCCCCAGGGGTCGGGGTAGGAATCTCAATTTTACAATTTGAAACCATCTACCTCCAAGGATAATTCTCACCAAGTAAAAATAATTTCCTACAGAAAGTTGTCAAAATATACCCAAAAGTGTTATTTCCCTATATAAACTATAGTAAACTTTACCCCCTCCCCAAGGGAGAACGGATAGCTCGGGGGTCCTGAAATTTACAATTTAAGTAAAGCCCCTGATGATCTTTCTTTCCACGTAGAGAAAATCACTGTAGTACCTCTGAGTCTGGAGAAGAAGATTTTTGAAATATTGATTAATTTTCCCTTTGGGGCCCCGCCCTGGCCCCAGGGGTCGGGGTAGGAATCTCAATTTTACAATTTGAAACCATCTACCTCCAAGGATAATTCTCACCAAGTAAAAATAATTTCCTACAGAAAGTTGTCAAAATATACCCAAAAGTGTTATTTCCCTATATAAACTATAGTAAACTTTACCCCCTCCCCAAGGGAGAACGGATAGCTCGGGGGTCCTGAAATTTACAATTTAAGTAAAGCCCCTGATGATCTTTCTTTCCACGTAGAGAAAATCACTGTAGTACCTCTGAGTCTGGAGAAGAAGATTTTTGAAATATTGATTAATTTTCCCTTTGGGGCCCCGCCCTGGCCCCAGGGGTTGGGGTAGGAATCCCAATTTTACAATTTTGAAGCCTCATCTACCAAGGATGATTCTGACCAAGTTTGAAAAAAATCCATCCACTGGTTCTTGAGAAGAAGTTGAAAATGTAAAAGTTTACGCACGACGCACGACGGACGACGACGGACGAAAAGCGATTGGAATAGGTCACTTGAGCAAAGCTCAGGTGACCTAATAAACTTACAGACACTTGTGCTATGTGAACTAAAAAGTTTGTTGGTTATTGATGTACCTAAAGACACACAGTGGACATTAAAATATCTACTCATGCCAAGATTTTAAGTGTTAAACTCACTTTCTTTAATACAAATAACAAGTACCAAAGTGATTAACCTAACAACACCTAAAACCTTCCAATAGATAACAAGTGTTTGAACTAAACAGTATGGATACCTGGCATCCATGTACAGATCATTCCCCCTAATGTATGAACAGCACACAAGGGGGTCTGACCATCAATCTTTCTTCTGTGTGTTTTGCCTGACCTGATGTTATTTCTATTGAATTGTGATCTTGTATAATGCTAATGCATGGCTACTTACTGGGTATATATTGCCACGAACCAAGTTGGATTTCTCTGGTTTTAGGAGTAGGTAGTCTCCCCTGAATCCTATAATCCTGGGTTCTCTGTGACAGCCTGACAGCTCGGCTATTCTATCAGAGTAAAGGCCTCCACAGGTGATGGCATACCGGCACTTTAGCTCCTCACCCTGGCCACATAAACACAGTACAAGTAAGTATTAACATACCAAATATCAATTAAGGAGATACAGTGTAATTATAATGAGTCTTAATAAGCCTTTAATTGTAAGTTTGTAGAGATATAGTATAAAACAGTTTTACTACAAACACGCTCATTGCTAATGCAGACTTAAAAAAAAACTATGTCTTGTGTATCTCGGCAGTGACAATCAGGAATATTAAACTCAACTAGAACACTGACATGTCAGTAAGGGCCCCGCTGAGCTTGATGTTTGACATTTGGACTTCAAAAAGAATCGCAAGTTCATTTTACATGTACTATGATGTGAGTCTTGTTTCCTTCCACCTCCATATTTGCCGGGCTAACAGAAATGTAAATACCGGTGCAATACTCATTTGTTAGCTTTGATTTGTTTTATTTCACCTTATAAACCTCCTCCATCAAGAGCCAGGGTCAAAATCAGAGATCCACTTTGTCTTTGACCATTGGACCCAAATGACCTTGACCATTAACCCAGTGACCCTGAACTTTGGTCAGTTGACTTATTCTTTAATTCCGACCAATTTTGCTTCTTGATATCATAACAAAATGTTCATCAGTGAAAAATACAAAACTTGACCTTGACCCTTTGAACCCCGTAACCTGGACCTAATGTCAGTTGACTCTGTGTTAAGTTCTGAACAACATTGCTTCATAATGTCATAACAAAATGTTCATCAGGGAAAAGGTACAAAATTTAACCTTCACCTTTGACCAAGTGACCTTGACCTTTAGTCAACTGACTCCTTGTTTAATTCTGAGCAACATTGCTTCAAAGTGTCATAGTGAAATGTTCACCAGTGAAAAGATACAAAATTTAACCTTGACCTTTGACCCAATGACCTTGACCTTTAGTCAGTTGACTCCTTGTTTAATTCTGATCAACTTTGCTTCATCATGTCATAACAAAATGTTCATCAGTGAAAAGATGCAAAATTTGACCTCGACGTGTCTATTTGTTTAATTCCGAACATTTTTGCTTCATAATGTCATAGCGAAATGTTCACCAGTGAAAAGCTTCAAAATTTGACCTTGACCCCTGACCCGATGACCTTGACCTTTTGTCAGTTGACTCCTTGTTTTATTCTGATCAACTTTGCTTCATAATGTCATAACAAAATGTTCATCAGTGAAAATATGTAAAATTTGACCTTGACCTTCGAACCTTATGACCTTGACCTTTGACTTTTTACCTTAATGTGTATTTTTGTGAACTGAACATCTTGACCAAGTTTCATGTACATCGGTCAATAAATACCAAAGTTATCAGCCAGGAACACAATTTGTGGACGGACGGACGGACGGACGGACGGATTAGGAGAAGTTATCAGGACAAGGATTTTTCAACAAAGGGCCAATACTCCATAAAAAAGGGTTGAAAAAAAACACCTGGATGCACAACATCAGCAGGTAATTATCATATCTGAAAACTTCCCCTGAAATTGGCCCCATAGTTTACAGACAGGTATAACACATGTATTTACTATCACAGACAGGTATTACACTTGTATTTAGTATCACAGACAGATATTACACATGTATTTACTATCACAGACAGGTGTTACACTTGTATTTACTATTACAGACAGGTTACACATGCGAGTACATTGTACTTTAACACACATCTGCAGTAGGCAAGTTAACTATGCTGTACTAAAATACACCTAGCAATAAAACATGCTAATAGCAGTTACAAGAACTACTGGTTTATACACTGTAAACTACTGGTTTATACACTGTAAACTACTGGTTTATACACTGTAAACTACTGGTTTATACACTGTAAACTACTGGTTTATACACTGTAAATTACTGGTTTTTACACTGTAAACTACTGGTTTTACATCACTGTTTGTTTATATTCTGTATACTAGTTGTATCTTTTTAAGGAGTAAGTCCTGTACATGGTCTGGCGAGGTATATGAGATATAGTCCATGGGTCTTGAGACATAATGAGTTATAAAATGCTTCTTCACATCTAACTTTTCTCAAAGCCAATTGAAGGTTATACCCTATCAATTCAACAGAACAGTACTTGTTTTGATTTACATTTAGTATAATTTTCATGATTTTTGTTTTATAATTTCTAAAATATCAGTCTTGTATAAGTGTGACATCAATAAGTAAGATAAAATCTGTTACCTGGTATGTATAAATTACAACTTTAGAACAAGAGGCCCAATGGGCCTGCATCGCTCACCTGGTATAAAACTCACACTTGTAACCTTAAAAGTGATCTAAAATAAAGCTACAGGCAAAATATCAGTATTTATGATAAAAATTCGTTCAAAAGACCCTGTTAATTTTTTTAAAAACATTTCACCCCTGTGATTGAAAGTCGAACAAAGTCATTATGTT